TTTCTTGCACACGATGAAATATTTTGTACAAACGCGGATTTGATTTCTGCATCGTATGTAGTGTGAAAGTATAAAAGTAAAGTGTTTTATATTGGTCTAATTTTCTTTGAACTTTCGTTTAGTTAAAGAAGTAAAATTTGTTATATTCGTACAGTAGGGAGTAGAAACAGCTAGTATTCAGCAACAAATAATATCAATTCAGCATCGATTAATATGGATTCGACATCGAGTAATGTTGATTCGACGTAGATCAATGATAATTCGACATCGTTCAATGCAGATTTTTTGACTCAACAAATTAGCGTGTGCATAAAGTTCGAAGACCTGTACTGAATCGGCATATAATGCTCCTCTTTAATCGGTGGTACGCACCGCGACATCGCCCACTCCAAATTGGGTTTCGCCTTAGTCGATCGGGCAGGAATCTGCATCACTATTCTTGATCGAACAACATCAATCTTCGTCGATCGATCAAGACCTGTTTGTCTGGGTAAGCATATCAACAGAAGCAGCTTAAAATAACTCGCTCGTGCCGACATATCCAAAGTTGAAAATTTCTACCTCTGGCAAAATCTTGAACGCAAAATCGGGCTCGAAAAGATGACGTCAAGGCACAGAATCGCTAGATGCATTGTGGGATCGGCCGCCATATTTGTAGCAGGGTCTAGCTTTCGCCTACGTGTTAAATCTACTGCGATAGTCTCTTTTTGAAGTTTTGGCTTGAAGATGGGACGCTACTGCTCCGTTGTAGGATGTACCAGTCGTTCTCACGGCCATTTAAACAGAAAACTATACAATGGAATGCGTTTATTCAGTTTACTAGCCGTGAATGCCGTGTATATCGTATCAGTTTATGGCTCGTACTGATATACGTATCGCATATCAGTTTATCAGCCGTGAATATTTATTATATACGATACTATACATTTTCCAGGGACAAAATCAGTTAGTTGCCTTTAGATAAGCTACATAAGTAGGAATAAAACTTAATAATATTTACAGATCAGATAACATTGTCATGATCCATTATCCTGCAGCGATGATAGTGTTGTTGCAGTTGGCTGGTTTGTTGGTAGATCAAAATGATTCGCTTTGTTCTATAACAGCAAATGTTTCGAGTTCTTTACATTGCCTTTCAATTTCAATATAAATTGCATTTGCAAAGCGTCGTGGTTCCTGGTGAATTGGTGTGTTGTTGGTCAGTTCTGTGGTCTGAGGTGTCACATGAGCGCGAGTCCAATATCGCGATCGGTATTGCTATGAGCCGTCCGAACCCTAGTTACCTGGTAAGCATTGATAAAATTCAATCCTTTTCCTCTTCAAAAAGGTGAAAAGGAATTTCATTTTCCATTCTTAGAAGGTTCCATTCATCAGCATCATTATCGTCGTCCAGTTGTACTACCAAACTAACTCTACCAAGTACATCGCCTTTCTTGATTCTTTGAGGTTTCGTTTCTCCATCGCCTGTACCCATCCATCCACAAATTGTTTGTAAGCTTCAAGCGTCTTGTATGCTTTGAATCCTTGCAAGGTGTATTGGCTGACCACCAAACACCAAATAGTTAAGTAAATCACCGTGTTAAACGGGAGGCAGGCTTGCAAAATCTGCACATCATGGCTTTGCCGGCACTTCGTTGGCATCAACATCGTTAATGTCGAACAATTTTCTTAAATATCGGTCTCTCACTGAATGAAGGAGTTTTTGACAACAGCCTAATCCTTTCTGCTTTGTTCTTTCTTTCTCCATTGCTACCAAAACGTCCAAATGTGTAGGAATATGAGAGTAAGCTGAGGCGCCAGTGTGATACAAAGATGGCGGCGTAGCAACGCGGCTAACGTGGATACGCGGGAGCTTGGTGAGCCCGATTGCGTATCCATGATGAATACCGCCGCCTCCACAGGGTTGTCCCACAATGAGGAGACGCCGAAAGATTTGGGGAAAGAGAGGCAGGCAAAGAGATACTGGACGGACTGGAGGGGGTCCACGCACTCCGGTCAGGCGGTGCTGTGGGAGCGTCCGATCCTGATGGTGTAGGACGCCAGGGAGCTACAGCATCCCGAGCGGAGCTGGGATAGTGCCGAGCGGTAGGAGTGAGGGAGCGAGGCCTCCTAGCTCTGATGCAATCGGTGGTGGTGGAGCTGCAAGGACAGCGTTGTTATAGTCAGTCACTGCAACGCAGGAGGCGATCTCTCTGCAAAGGGAACGTTTAGCCTCCCCATAGGCACCAGCGGGCATGATGCCGTTTGCTAGAAGTGGCGCAACAAGGTGGCCGAATCTCGATTGGATGGGTGGTTTCATTGGGCGGTCTCCGAGGGGAGCAGAGGCAATATGGAATGAGGTATGGGAGGGCTGGAGGGCTCTGGCTAGGAACTGGGCACAAACCAAGTCTAGGTGAGCGGACAGGAGAAGGAAGCCGGTCTCATGGTGGAGATGGGCTTGCTGGTCCATTTTGAGGCAGCCGGTGGCTTGTCTCAGGGCAGAGTTTTCAAAAGTTTTAAGGCTAGCTATGGCAGTGCGTGAGAGTGCCAGTAGGTGGCAGTGATGACCTTCTTGGAGAAACTCCAGTTAGTGCTGGCTAGGGCTTTTCGCTTAACCCGTCGCTTTAGTGGTTATGGCTCTGACGTGAGGTGAAAACGTGTAGTGCGTGTCTTAGGTGACGCCCAGGATTTTGGTGGTTTTATCTAGGGGGATGATGCCGTTGCAGACTGTTGCAGAAAAGTGTGACCGGGATTAGTGAGTGTCTGGGGTGAAGAGCGTGACGTAGGACTTGCCCGGTGCCACGGCAAGTTTCTTTGCAGCTGACCGGTCTGAGACGCCCCGAAGGAGCCCAGCGAGGTCAGCCTCCGTAGCGTCGAGCTTCGGGGACGACACGAAGATAGTGATGTCGTCTGCGTACGAGGCACTATTGGCATCCGGTACCGGGATATCAGAGATGAAGCGGTTTAATTGGGCCGGCGAGATGACCGAGCCTTGGGCAACTCCTGAGTACATTGTTCTAAAAAGAGATTGCGTCTGAGGTAAAGGCAAAATTCCAGCCTGCCTCTGAGGTAGCAGCACAGCCAGCGGACCAGGTTGCGGTGTAGGTTGGAGGCAGCGATCATGCTTAGAAGGCGAGGGTAGTCCACACTATCGAAGGCTTTCGACAGGTCGACCGCAGCTACCACTGTGCGGGCTGGAGGCCGCCGTGAGTTGAAACCCGTCGCAATCTGGTGTGCGAGCGGGAGGAGGGCGGTGACTGTGGAGTGTCCCGGTTTGAAGCCATGTTGCGAGGGAGAGGTGGTGAGAGATTCTGAGATGTATGGGAGTAGAAGACGCTTCAAGATCTTGACTGCCGGGCAAAGACGGGAGATGTGGCGGAAGTTGTAGACTTCACTATACACGATAAATTTAAACACCATTTGAATGAGGTGTATCAACCGACGTCCGAACGGGACGAGTAACTGTATACCACTGTTCAATATCTGCGCCTCCGAAGTCCGAACTACCTCTCACTGCCTAGTGTATAGACTCAAGTCGGATAATTGATAACCCCCACTCCTCATTGGGGAATATAAAGGGGATTGTTTTGGAATCCCTGCCTCTAACACGTTGGTGTTTTAGTGAACACAAGTAATACACGCATCTTGACGTACAAGCAATGAACGCGTGTTCATGTACACATGTCGCAAGGGAGTTTGCGCAAGCGTAACGCAAGCGTGTTCACGGAAACGCACGGTATGCGGGTCGAAGACAACACAATGCACGCGTGTTAGATAAGCTCGCGCAATGGCCGCGTGTCGATGGACAATCAATGCACGCGTAATGAAATTCTCGCAAACCTTAAAATTTCTTCGAAAACTCTACAATTTTTTCAAAAATTTTGCCCCAAAAGTGTCGTGGGACAGTCTGTTCAGCCACTTCTTTCGGCTGTCTTATACAGATTCGGCTCCTAGGGCATGTGACTTGCGAAAACGGCTCCTAATTAATAGCCGAATATAGTAGGTGGACGATTGGTGTCTGATTTTCCTCTAAGGCGGCTATTGCGTGCGTCCGGTGCCCCTCACCGGAATCAGGATTTTGACTGGGAATGATAGTATTGAAATGTAATTGCGACTAATGGCCGCCGGAAAATGAAACAAAATGGCGGCCGATGAGGATGGTCCACTCAGATGGCGGCCAATCATTGAACACAATGTCATCATCACGACCATCATTATCATTTGAAATCAAATCAGAATAATGATATGTCGTCATTATTGTTAATCCTATATCTTAATCCGGTATTTCATACTAATTTATAGTATATAATTACTTATTATATAATCTTAGCGGAGAATATAGAAATAACTGAAATAGTTATAATATGGGATTAGAATTATTTTTAATTTCATTATATTACATAATTATAGAAAAAATATTATATACAGTATAATTGAGATATTTACAGTATAATTGAGGATTGAGCCCCGTCAGCACTCGCAACAATCAATGGGTCAAGTTGTCTAAATAGTGACGCATTTTCAGCCCGTAGCACTGATACGCTTTTTGCCAGCCAAAATTATGGCTCATGCAAGGGCGAGAAATGCATCGCATAGTGGACAAAGACTGTTTATTTATTTGAGTGTGTGCGACTGAAGCTTTTAGATAACACTTCGCTACTGACGACATCGCAGAAGCTTAATATAATCTACGATAATCTACTTTTTTTATATAATATTATTTTTTATTATATTATATTGTATTGTATTATATTGCATTATGAAGAATAATCTATGTATAATATTAGATACAATAAAATTATGTAAGCTCTAATCCTATATTACAATTATTCCCATATATTAATTAACTATAATAATATGTGATTATTTTACATTAATATTTTCATGATAATCGTCTCGTCTTCAAAATATTAATGATAAGATGATGGTGCACTGTTTCCATCTGTCGGCCAATGATAGCGCCACACAAGATGGCGGCCACTGGCAAGCCACGCAGGATATTCACTGCCACACTCCCACAGGGAGGGAGCTGTTGTCCTCCACATCACTGAGCGCGTGCCCCCGGGAGGACCAGTGGTGCCCAGTGACGCCCAGCTGCAGGAGGCGCTACAGGAACACCTGCGCCTCCGAAGACAATAATGTGCGTTTTGTGCGGTATTATTGAGGCTGTGTGCGTTTTGTGTGGGATTATTGAGATTGTCTATGTGTTTTGTATGCGATTAATGAAACTCTGTGTGTATTTTTTGTGGAAATAATAAGATTGTGTGCGTATTTTGTACGGGATTACTGCAACTGTGTGTATGTTGTGAGGGAATAATAAGACTGTGTATGTGTTTTTTATGGGATTAAAGATACTGTGTGTTTATTTTGTGTTGGAATAATAAGAGTGTGTCTATGTGTTTGTGTGGGATTAATGAGACTGTGTTTTGTATGACAGTACGGATGTCACTCGCGTTACTGTCACTAATATATAATCTCACTTACGGCATAGCCAGTTTATCTGCAGTTTGAGATCATTTTATCTAATTAGTGTTTGCATGGTTATATTTGTAACGCTTATAAATTGATATTTTGTTGAACGAGTTTTAATTTATGAACATAATTCTTGTAAAAAAAGTCACTAGATTGCTTTAATCGCAGATTCACTAGAAATTTAAAAGCGAAGAAAACACCACAAAAATTTAGCATATCTTTTTTGAAAACTTTTCGGAGACCAGCTCCATCGTCAGTTCGATCGATCTGTTTTTGAGATCGTTTCCGAAACTTAGTTTGGAGTTAATAAAAAAACACACACAGAAGTTAAAAACCTAAATTTACAGACAAAGGGCAGAATAATAAAGTAAGTTTCTATCTATTCACAATTTCTAATGGATAAGAACTATAGGCAGCATTTAAACTAGGCTTCTCTTTAAAAATATACAAGGATTCCAAAATACGCAGATCGGAAGCACCAGAAATGCACGGTGTGCATCTGCGTATGTCGGAATGACGGCACGCAACTTTTACACTCGGGTTGCTGAGCATAGAGGTAGGAGTTATAGGACTGGGCAGTTACTATCGCGCCCTCCTCATTCGGCTGTGCGCACTCACGCCGAACAGTGCAACGTTCCAGTGTCCGACACAGACTTTAAGGTTTTAGCTTATAGTTCTGGTGCTTCCGATCTGCGTATTTTGGAATCCTTGTATATTTTTAAAGAGAAGCCTAGTTTAAATGCTGACTATAGTTCTTATCCATTATAAATTGTGAATAGATAGGTACTTACTTTATTATTCTGCCCTTTGTCTGTAAATTTAGGTTTTTAACTTCTGTGTGTGTTTTTTTATTAACTCCAAACTAATTTTCTGCATTTATCTGTGTTCTAGATTTATCGAACTGACGATGGAGCTGGTCTCCGAAACGTTTTCAAAAAAGATATGCTAAATTTTTGTGGTGTTTTCTTCGCTTTTAAATTTCTAGTAATTCTTGTATTGTTGCAGGGCAGAGCGGAGTCACGCTCCTCGATAGTTCATCACGTTTTACTGTCGTCAAATCTGAATTATAAAAGCAAAAGTAAAGTAAATATGTTCTTAATTGTAGAAATGAACTGATAATAAGTGAGGAAAGAGTGAGACAGAGAGAGAAAGAGATGGGAAGGTGCGAGATGTTAACTGTTGGTCTCATTCCGTGGCCATGTCAACACTTCAGAATGAATTGGCCAACTCCAGCGCACATTCTTTTACGAATTAGATTACGTTTAGCGGAATATCCGAGAGTGTTAATATGAAATTGATGGGTGCAGTTAGGTTTACCGTTTACGGTTATCAGGAAATTTCAATCTTCGAAATAAGGATGGGAATCTTTTGGCCCGTACGCAATCATCTTGAAAATGTTTGTGATCTAGCGGGAAAAATCTTTCGAATACGTTGTGGAGTTGAATCTTAAACAACAATTAGCTAATACGTTGATTTAAATCTTCCGTTATAGATGAGAAAGAACGACATTTTTCACGTGCCGTTAGATAAAATTGTGAAACTGGCTGACAACAACTTGGTATGAAATCTTATATTGAGCGAAAATTAGAAACAAGGTTTAATTTCCTTCAGACTTTGCGCCGAACAGAGATTTACTTGATTTCAGTTTGGAAATAATATAACACTTTTTATAACTGTAGCATTGAAACTAGTACTGATGTTGTCAGTCCATCTCATTTGCCTGCAAGTCAGAGCAAACGTAATATTTGTTTGCGACGAAAAAACCTGAGCCTAGAGGTTAGTTCTGCTGATCTAGATATGCTGCCGATAGAGTTAATTCAAGTGCAAACTTCATTTTCAAACCACTTAATCTGTCAATCGTCATTCATCAATTAATTCTTTGGTATTCCAAAGATTTGTGCAATTCGAAGATTTGGGTAAATCACTCGTTGCCGTAACTTTTGGTTATTGTAAGTGGAAAGATGTCAAAATATTCGTATGCTACCTGCACTGTCCTTCCAAAATAAAAATTAAGGGTGGCGCATTGATGATTATATACATACATTTCATGCATTAGGCGCAGCGGCTCGGCAGCTCTCAAGCGCAGCGAGCAAGTCGAGTAAGCACACGTTCGCGTTCACATGAGTTGGGTTTACGCCCGTCGGCGTTGAGTTTCCTACTAGTCTTTACCATGCCCTGCTTGAAATATGTGCTTACAGGGTAATTGGCTTGTCAAAAAATTGTCCATTTTACGCAGAAGGATTCTAAAAAAAATTCGGGGTTCTATTGCTGATTTCGATAGTGAAATTTAATTATTTAGGGGAAATTTGCTTATCTAGTCAGAAAATTATTTGGATTTTAAGTCTAAATTTCTGCGAGAATGGTCCCGTAACTTCCCTACGCAAAAGATAAAAATATTAGGCTGGAGCAAAATAGCGACTGGAAGAGGTACAGGTAATTCACGCCTGACATTTCAAAATCAGCGAGTGATACCGATTCTTTATTTCACGCAAGAATATTCTTTGGGAAAATATTTCGAATCAAACTGCTTTCAAAATTGGTGTAATGTTCACATTGTGGAACTTCGTTGCTTTTTAAGAATTTTCCCGTAGCCTTTACTCTGAGCTGACTGGAATAAGTAGCATGTTCAGATGAAATTGTTGATGGAACCATCTAATCATCGCGGTGGTAGCACTTACTTCGGTCGTTTGATGAAATTAAATTAAATATATAAGTTAAATATTTTATAATGACTCTATATAGTGTCAAGTCCTCTCCGATAGCTCAACGGCAGAGGCTTTGCTTCTCGTTTAGGAGACGAGTTCGAATCCTGGAAACAGGGACTTTCTTCAAGTCGATTTCTTACGATGTATACCTATGGTACTCTGATAATTTATTACTACTACATTTCTAGCATTGTTAATTGTACTGCCATGGTGGATTTCCATACTTAGCCCTCAGAATGGTGATTGGATGAAGCAATATCAGTAAATATAAAAGCATCGGATTTGAAACTGAATTAAAAAATTTTATCGACATAATTTTAAAGGTGGCCATCGATGGCTCATCGATGCGCCACCGGTGCCAATGGTTATTGTTGGCGAAAGATGAGCTTTACGGGTAGGGGGGTCATCGGCAGGTTATAGGTGTGGGATAGGTGGTGCACGCCACCCTTAATGCACTGTATAGATCATAGTTGCTTCACCCATGGTGTCCGCCGATAGCCATCATAAAAACATAGGTGCTCCACTCTAAATTTTTATCTGGGTTGTTAGGAAGCCACTTGTGCCCGCAAACCAAATGACTGGCAATAATCATTGTCTTAAATTAGCAGATAACCGTAAAATAAGTGTTCCTCAACTTCGTGTCAATTCGGACTGTGTATTTTACAAGGAATAACAGATGCTGCTGCATTTCTGAACAACTTTTTGGAATATTTAATGGAAATATTGCTGATGCCGCGTGTGCAAGTATAGACCAACTATACGGTTCAAAATCCATGAGCTGTTCAAACTAGGAGTTAGAAACATTTTGAATCTGATGAGGAAACTTCATCACCCTTTATTGGAAATGCCTTTCTTCGATTTAACGACAATAATTTCCCAAAATTATGTTTTTGCAGCGACGATCCAAATATTGGATATGTTTTTCAACTTGTAGATGCTAACTCAACAAATTTTCCAAAATTTCCATTTGAGAACTATGTGTTGATTAAACAGCCATGTGATAGGAAGTCTGTAATTAATATTCTTACACAAATCGTGTTGCCTTCACAAATGAGGAATAAAGTAATGAAAATGCGCATTTTTTTATTGCGCATTTTTTGGGTCTGATTGTTTGCATGTAGTCGTCATTCTATGTTATCATTGATTAAAATTCAGGGTTGGAGAAATTGTTTTGTTATTGCTCTCAATACTAGTGCCAGTATTGTTGGCAGAACGTAAGGGCGCTTTCGAATTAAGTACCAGTTAAAATTTAGCGCAGGGAATAGAGCAGGCCGTCGCCGCCGCCAGAGCCGACGTAGAGACGCGACAGAGCAGCGATATAGCAGAAATGTCCGCTTTAGAGACGATATCACCTGGGCAGGCACAGCGCTAATTAGCTTCTGAGCACCTGCCCAGGCGGCTCTGTCCTGCGGCCACGCAGCCCTCACTGAACACCTCCGGCTCATGCCTGCTATAACCAGCGCAATGCGCTGCCACAGCGCCGTTGCCCAGCTCTTGCCGGGCGGCCGGAATTTATCCTTGTATCAGCCCAGGTGCAGCGCTGCTTTAGAGATAGATGGCCGGTTATTGTTTCACGGCTCCGTCCTGCTAAAGCGCGGCAGGCCCGTCCAAGAACGGCGCCGGTCTCGTCTCAGAATTTTAACTGGGTAGTGAGACGGATCGATAATATCGATTATGTCATCAGAATTAATGATTCTGAACGAACATAGTATCTTTCCAACAATGTGAAGATATTTAAAGAGCGATGAGCCTGACTCACAAACTACTCCGGCATGTACTTTTTGTAGCGTTATAAGGACGTACTTAGTGATTTTAAGATGGGGAAAGATTTTAATGCATTTGATCTTCATTTCATTTCTTGACAGGTGTTGAATGTAATCGAAAAATGTTTCTATGATGTGCCAGTGAGGGTTAATTTTATAAAGTATGAAATTTTTATTCTTGCGCTTGCAAAACTGTCAG